CTAGAAGGGACAGCTGCTTTCATAGGGGAAGGGTGTGGACACACCAGAAAAACCCATACCAGAAGCAGCACCTGTGGTTTCTGCTGGGAAGCATCCTATCCAGCATGGAACTCCAGCCCATGGCTTCATACATGGCCAACGTCTACACACCCTCACTGCTACTGAGTTATCAAACAGCCCTGGGCAAATCCCTCTGCCTTTCCTCACCCCCAGCACCGGTGGCTTTGGTGGCACCGGGGACGGGCTCAGCCCCATGGGCACCCGGCCGGACCCCCGGCAGCGGTGCCAAAGCTCCTGGGTGGTCAGGAAGGCTTTGAACATCTCCAGCAAAAAAACCCAGACACAAGCAATGCTACTCTGTTTTCCCTGCAAGCCATCTTGAGGCCTTTGGAAAAGAGAGATGATGACTGCAGGGACTGATCCTTCCTCCCAGCCTACGCTGCCACGGCAGGGCAGGCGTTTCCCACGCACCCCGGTGCAAGGCAGAAAAGCAGCCGCAAAAAGTTATCCTTATTCTCCCACGAGCGAAAGGGGCTTATGGCATCAAAAGAAAATTAATTGGGCAGAGTTCAGCACTTGAAACAAAGCCGGCTCGGGTGCCGCAGCCCCACCAGCAGCTTTATCTCACTGGCACACACCTTGGCATCAATGTTCGCGGGGCGGCCCCGGCACGGGGCGAGGTGCCACCGGCACGCAACGTGTGCCCCCGCCACCGGGACAGCCCTGCGCCACCTGCGCCCGCAGCCCCCCGACTCCGTGAGCAGGTAATTAACTCCCAAACAAAGGCAGGGATTTGCAGATTAACCGGGGCCCAGGAAGGAGTGGGAAAACTCATTTACACCAAACAAAAGGGGAGGGGTGATTAGTTGCTCCAGTGACAACAGAAAGAGCCAGATAGGGCCAGGGAAACTGATAAAGAAGCGAGAAAGCCTAATATCCCCCAGTTGCCTGCCTTTTTTTTCCCCCTTCTTTCTTTCTTTCTAAGCACTAAAATTCCACCATTTTCTATCATGCAAATTTGTGTGCCTAAGTGAGATTAAACTCCGGCAGGCACCGTGCCTCCTTCCCCAAGTCCATTTCCCGCGCTGAGATAAGGCCAACTTTCCTTAATGCATCTTACAAGGCAGTGGGAGTGTTTTGCAGGCACGCATTGGAGACGGCTTATTATCAATACGAATAAGAGCTTTCCAGACACTGTCCTCCTCCTCCCTCCTCTCTCTCTTTTAAACCCAGGAACCCAAAGAACAGCTTAAATAGCTGAAGTGTCCTACCGGGAGCGGGGAGAAGGACAGGCTGCGCCTGAGATGCTGCTGCAGGGGCAAGAAGTGGGACTTGCTAAGGAAACCAGAGCGGGATACAGGAGAGGAGAGGAAGGGAAAGCATCCCTCCTCAGAGGTCAATGGAGCTCAAGTTCTCTTTCTCGCTCTGGGTTTCTGCCTCCCTCCAAGTTCAGAGCAAGTAGGGCTTCCCTGGATTCTGTCTCTTTGAGATTTTCATCCAGAAAAGCCTCTCTCTTCCCAAGGATCCGAAGCAAACTGCTGCAAGCATGGGCAGTGCTGCTTCCCTATGCTTTGTCTGGTCTTATGGCAACTCCTCCTAAGAAGAAATGAGGGCTGAGTGAGCAGGACAGGCAGGGACCACCTTCCAGACACTGCAGATGACATGGGTGCTCCCTGAGCTGTTCATTTTAGGTCCAGCTGTAGTCTGGGATCTTCTTTCCTGGGGAGATCCAGGTACAAAGAACCTCCTCGTACCTCTTGCAGCTATGTTGTTGGCTCACATCAACTTGGCATTGCCAGCGCTGAGCCTGACCCTATTTAAAGCAGTCCCCGAAATAGCAGGTCTGAACTTTGAAGCATTCAATGCCAAGGGTCTGTTGTCTCGTTCCTGGGCTCATTTGTCCCACATTAGTGCAGAGATCTCACCAGCAGCGGGAAGGAGAGGTGCACCAACCTGCTATTCCTGGATCCACAGCAATCACCTTTTGCCTTTTGTAGCAGGATTTCAAGACTGACAAGTGTTTCTGAAAGCCTGACCGATGAGGAAAGGTGGGAGAAACAGGGCTTGCATCATTTCAGAAAGAAGGTGGCTAAGGGGCAACACGATAACAACCTTCCCAAAAGCTAGAGGTTGTTACAAAGAGGACGCTGATCAATTGTTCCCCACGTCCGCTGGGGATAGGCTGAGAAAAACTCCACTTCATTTGCAACAAAGAAGGTTTAAGTTAGATATTAGCTATACATTTTCTAATTATAAAGGTAGCAAAGCAGTAGAATAGATCATCTAGGGAGACTGAAGAACCTGCTTTGTTAAAGATTTTCAAGAATAGCTTTCACACGTGTTTGCCAGCGATGTCTCTGCCTTGTTGCAGGGGAACGGGCTAAATTAGCTCTTGAGGTGCCTTCTACCCACCTATTTTGGGATCTCAGCCACCAATACAGTCAACCTAGAAATAAATGTGCAGCACTTCCCTTGCTGCAGCGTGGACATCCTTGGTTCCTGGTGGTTTCTAGCGGATTCTCTCCCACTGCCTTGTCGGACCATCCCCAACCTTCATACCCTAAGGGAAGCTCCTTCTGCCACCCCTATCCCTCTCCTGGTTTTTGCTCTTTCCCCCCACAGCACCGCTTCCTCCCGCAGCCCTTGGCAGACACCAGGGATGCCCCAGCTCCTCACTCCCTCCATCCATGGCCGGGTCCCAGTGATATCCCCTAAACTTGGGGAGAAGGGATGCATGGCGTGGGCGGAGGGTGTTTGGACCCTGGCCTAGACGCACCCATCATGCCTGTCTGGGGAAGCCGCAGGCTGCTGAAATTCCAGCTGGAAGGGGAAGAGCTCCTTGCCCCCACGGCCAGTCCCTTTGGAGAGTGCAGCCTCCCCCAGGGCATGATTTAATTGCATCCTGAGAGGCTGGAGTGCTCCTGCCTCCAGAGCTGTGCCCCCAGGCTCTTTCCTGGTGCAGCAAGGGGAAAGTCAGGACCTGCTTAGAGCAACCTGCACACCTCCCTCTTTCTGGCTGCACCTGGACTAACCCTGTTTAAAAGGGGAGACCCCCTTTCCCACCTCCTCTCACCACTTCTCCTTTCCTATCAGGCTGCGGGAAGGGGTAAGACGTCCCACGGCCACGCGCTGAACTTGGCACAGCCCTGAAATCTGGCGCTCAGACACCCTGCTTTCCTGGGAGGGAGGGTAAGCACTGCTTCCCGCAAGCTGAATGTCTTTCAGGACAGGATTATACCAGCTTAAGTATTTATTGGGCCCATTTTCCAAGGCAGGAGAGTTAATCCTGGCACCCTAGCCAAATTTTAATCGGGGTCATTAAGGCAGGCTTCCCTTTAATTAGACACGATATTCACTTTCATGCCCTGCTCCAGCGCGTTGCTGCACATTATACTCTTGCCACCTTCCACCCGAGAAAGGGCTGGGTGAGCCAAGCAATAGCTCTTGAAATTAGGGTGCCTGCTCCTGAGAGCCGGTATTTCTGTCGGCAGCAGCGAGGATGTTCAGCATGTTATAGGACTGAGCCCATCACTGAATCTTCCAGTACTTAACTGTACCGCTGCAAGGAGTTAAAGTATGACCTTTTCCTCCAAACATCTCTTCCTAATGATTTAGCAAGACACAGGAGGGATGGACCTGGATGTCTGGTGATATGCGAAATTTAGGTCAGGAAACAGGAATCAGAAGAGAGCTGATAGAAATTGTCCTGCATCACCCCAATGCCTGATAGCGACTTCAGAACTTGCGGGTGATCGACTTTGGCTTAAAAAAACTCAGGCAAGTATTAACAGATTGCAAGATAAACAGCAAGGACCCAGGCTGGCAATGCATCCGCTTTCTCTCTGTGGTTAATGGAGATGGAGAAAGTCCAGCTCTGTTTAGCTTGCTTGATTGCTCAAATAGGAAAGAGAAAAGGAAAGGGAGGGAGGGGGGAAAATAAAGGCCCTGGGTTTGGGTTTTTTTCCCCCCTTCTATTCATTAGGCTGTCAATAATGCTCAGGCCTGGCATATTGACGGTGAACTAGCTCAACCCGACTCTGTGTACAAGACCAATGCCTTTTTAACCCAGCTTGTTTCCAAATCAATACACCCATCAGCATTCGAAAATTAGCCCAAGATGAGATTCCAATACTCAGGCTGGTGTGTCATGCTAAGAGGGCTCCTGGCCAAATCACAGAAGAAGAAGGAGGAAAAGGGTTGCTAGCAAGGGATTAGAAATTTTCCATTAATCTTTCCCGAGGCTGCCTCCCTAAAAGCGCAGCGCAGGCTTCCCACCACGCAGGCTCTCCCTTGCCCAGCACATGTCCCCACCAAGTCCCGCAGCGCGGACGCAGGAGCTATCTTGCATGAACATCCATCTGCTTGACCATCGTGTGCGGCCACACTTGTACGTCTCCTCTCGAGAGCCTGTGTGTGCTTGCACGCTTGCTGAAGAGCGCACGTACGCACCCCGCGGACTGCGCAGCCTTGGCGAGGCGCGCTCATGTGCCAGCGAGCGCACGCCTGGCCACCGCAAGCGCTCCACCACCCCATACTGGTCTTCCTCCTCCTCCTCCTCACAGAAGTACAGAGTTTCAACGCACAAACACATATTGTTGCTAGGCATACACACACCCCCGCAAAGTACACAAATCTGCCAGATCTCTCTTTTCCCCCAATACAAGTTTTACTTCAAGCGTTGCCTCCAGCATGGAAAACAAAAAAACCCCATCAAAATACAATAGCAGTAACAACAAACAGCAACGTGGGTTTGCCAGCGACTACTTTTGGAGGCAGAGCTGCCTGTATCAGAGCCCCATGACTACTCCAGGAAAGCTGGATAAATGCATTGCCCAGCTTCACTGGGACTCACTAAGCCTGTTGATCAGCCTCTATGTTTGCACCAAGTTGTCTTACATGCTCAACGTAGGACCAATGGGAGGAGAAGACACCAGGGCAAAAGGGAGGAACAGAAATCAAAGCACCAAGCCCAACCCCTCTACAAATTCCCTTCCTCTTACCTTGCACGATGAGATGGACACGAGATGTCTTGGGGTGATTGTCTGTCTGCACGGAGCAGGTGTAGGGGCCCTCATCGTACACGTCCACATCTTGGATCTGGATGCTGTACTGGGTTTTGGTGTTGGCCAGGAGCACCACCCGAGGGTCCAAGCACCACTTGTCATTGCCGGCATAGAGGATGCTGCTGCGGGTCAGCCAGGCCACTCCGGCGGGTTCAGCCAGGCCACTCGGGTGACTCGGTTATCCACGGAGCACCTGGGGAGAGGCAGAGAGGTGACCCATCAGTGCTGCTCTTGGGTACTCTGCCCTCCCTTCCCAGTCCCTCCTGGTCCTCCTGGCACTATTTTTAGCTTTGCTGCCAGCAGCAGTTTCAGAGACCAAGTGCTTTCAGTGTCCAAAGAGGACAATGTCAGCACTTTACCTGCAGTGCTCAGGGCACCAATATCCATCTAAACTGGTAGCTCCAGAGATTTGCCCAAGAGCTTCACAATGATTTCAGACGCAGAGAGGTCAGAGCCACCTGGCACCAGTCACCAAAGGACCTTTTGTTCCTCCGTTCCCATTTGCTTCTTTGCAAACTTGGGGACAACCAGAGCTGAGCCAAAACCTCCATCCTGAGTCCAAACCACACTTTTCTGGGGGGGATGGAGGTTGCTACCTCCTGCCCAAACCCTTCACTTGTCATTCTCTCTGCAGACCGTCATATCCCTGCAGCCAGGCAAAGCAACACAAAGCGGAGCCGGGAAAGCAGCTCGCACTGCTTCACAAAGGAGCGAGGAAAATTTATCTCAGGAGAAAGCCAGCTCTGACACACCTCTAAAGAGAAACCGTGAGCTTCCTGCCATTTGTCCCTTCTGTCAGCTCTTCCTTCCCTACCCATCATCTGCATCGCTGCATCTCCCTCACTTATGCCAGCTAAGCATTTCACCTATCAAGTGATGTTTTGGAGGCAGAAATCTTCTATTTCCAGCCTCATTAGGAAAATGAGCCCCCCCAGAAGACAAACCAGTGCAAACCTAGGAAAGACTTTGCCCCTGAAGGAGATTATTTTCCTGTCCATGTTAGCAGGGACCAGTCTTGCTCCTTCCGAAGGTCTCCGCCAGCTCTGTAAACCCTTCATCCCCATGTCCTCAAGCAAGGTTTGAATCCTCCGTTTCCACGAATCGTCTCCAGACAAGCCAAGAAACCTGCAGCTCCCCAAGCCAGCTAAAACCCCGCTTCTCTCTGAGCAAGTTTGGGATTACGGAGCCATTAGGACTTAGCTGCGCTTTGCTAGATGCCAGCGACGGAGGATAATGTCCCTGCATAAAAGCAGTCAGCCTAAGATCCACTGTTTATATTCTCCCCAATCTACTTCATTACTTCTGCAGTGGCTGGGATGCAAATTAACTTCGGAGGCACCGAAAAAGAGCACGGCAGCCTCTGGGAGGTCTCGCACGGGGTAACCTCAATGAATGGAAGGGGCTTAATGGGCTATACAGGCCAGACCGCGGTAGCAGGGGAGTTAACAGCCAGGATGAATGTATCTGTGGCATGTGGTCCATCAGGGACTTATCCTGACACTTTAGGGGTTGTTTCTCAGGGTGAGCACACTTGGGCAGAGTCACCGAGTAAGTAGTGATAATAAAAGCAACCTGCAAGACAGCTCGAGTCCTCGCTGAGCTTCATGCAGCCGTCTACAGCCTCCCTCCCTGCATCTGCCCATCTGTCTCCTCGCTGGTGGGCTGCTTCCCTTCCCGCGCCCGCTACTGGTGCCAGCAAAGACACAGGTGCCCACCGGGGGACAAGCTGTCTCGTCTCATCTAGCCTCTTTTTGGAGGTATCTCTTTGGCCCCAGTGACTACAGGAGAAACCTAAATAACCCTCTCAGCCTTAATACACAACACTTGGAGGTTAGGGATGACGGATCCCCATGAGGTGACGTGCCCAAGGCGAGACGGGCAGTCTGCAGCCCAGGACTCCCCTGCTGATTTCCTAGGCAAGTACCCAAGCTACTGCACCATCCTCCCTTTCTGGTGTGAAAAACATCCGATAAATTAAACAATTTTACTGCTGTTCCATAATGATATTACGATAATAATAAATTAAATGTGAGCAGATTTTTATTATCTACATAAAAAAAGCAATAGATTCAGCCTGGGCTGAACACCAAGAACTCGGCTCTTGCTCTCAGCTGCATTACAACTTGAGCAAAACCTGAGAGTTTAGTTGGTCAAGTTGAACAAAACTTGAGATTTCTTCCCAGAGGATGGTTTTAGTATATTGTACTCTGGACCTCAACTATGCTGGTAGCTTAGACCTACGAGGTCTGAATAAACTGCAGGTGGATATTTGATGCTTGGCTCTGGCCCGCCCATCCCAATGCCATGGAATAGGCTCCTGCAATTGCAGCGAGCAGCACTTCTGCACAAACACAGGGGTGTCCACCCTCACTGCCAAAGCCGTATCGTGAAAAAGGCCTGGGTGATGAGAAGCCAGACATGGCTTGAATTTCTCGGACCGGTCCCTTCTGCAGAGATTATCCCTGAGGACCTGTAAGCAGGCTGAACTAAAAATATATATTTCCTCTCTCCTCCTCCACACCAGTCTTTTTGTGAAATGCATCAGCTTGGAGATCCCTGGATAATAATGGAGCCAGACAGTGTGTAATCCAAGCATTCCCTCTATCACATGGGCATTTAAGTGCCTTTGAAAAGCAACGGGGCTCAGGTAACGCATGAGGCAACAGTGAAATAAGTGCTTTCGCCCTTCACAGCACCCGGTCACAATCTCTTCTTATCACCTAGACATGCTTCTCTGTCCCTGGGATCGGCAAGCTTAAAGTTGTTATTTTATTTTCTTCCCTGCCTCTTAAAGCTCCCAAGCCAATATATATATAATAAAGTGCAGAAACAGCTCCCGGGAAAGACGCACTTTGACCTCTGGATACGGTGTGCTATTGAGGGGACGGCAGGTTGTGCTCCTACCCGAGCTCCTACCAACCGCTGTGCCAACCCCACTCCTCCTCGCACAAGCGCCGGTTGGGGTCCCCACGGCCGGGGCTCGCCGCAGCGACCCGATGCTCTTCCAGCCCCTCCATCTGCTGCTCCTCCAGCATCTCCTCTCTCCACAAGCCTGGCGCAGGGATGGGAAGCCCTCCTCTCCCCGCAGGCAGGCAGCCGAGCAGAAAGCCTTTGGCTTTGGCCGGGAAGCCAGGCTCTGAGCACAAGCGGAAAGCAAAGCCACCGCCGAGCCTGCAGCCGCTCCTGGCAAGGTGCAAAGCCCAGAGATGCTTCCTCCACCGCACTGGAGGCTCTCATCCTCCCTCTCGCCCCGCAACGTGCCAGGGAGGGAGGGGAGAGAGAGGTCCCCAGGGTGCTGGAAAACGGCACTTGCCTCCAAAAAGATGTAAAAATAATTAAGCACAGATGAGATAATTTTCTTTCTCAAGATCCTTAATCCTTGTTACATTCCTGCTTGGAAGGCAAGGCCTTCTCCTCCAGGAAGATGAAAAACTGCTGTCTGTCAGCACAAGAAGGAGATGATACTGCTCCCTCTCTCTGCTCTTTCTTTCCCTCCAAACCCAGAGTCCCAAGCCCCAGGGTTTCTCCTCTGGGAGGTGGAAACGCTGCTAATACACCACTGCTGCACCATCCTGGGGGTAGGCAGTGATGGTTTGCAGAGAGATGTAGCTCCTCACGCTGCACCAGACCCTCTGCTCCCTGCTACCACTGAGCGCACCTCAAAATGACCACGAGCAAGGGAGATTGGGCATTTTAAGACAGCTGCACGTACCGACCAAAGACAAGAACTGCATGCATGCACCTTCCCCACTCGTTCCAGCCTGCTTGTTCATGCCCTTGTCCCATGCTCCCTGGGCAATGATGCACGGCGGGTGTAAAGGGGATACAGGCGCAGGCTGGTGCTGCCCTTTCCAGACCCGTTAGCATCCCTGCAGCCAAAGCTCCTTGGCTTTGCTGTCTGCACTCTACAAGCAAGCCGGTGCATTAGGGCTGGCCACTCTCCCCCAAAGCAGCCAGCATCCCCGCAGCCTGAGGGGCTGAGCTCGTACAGCCAAAGTCCTCACGCCTGCACCCTCCACACCCCACGCAAGGGGTCCAAGGGGGCAGCCGACAGCCAGCCCAGCTGCAGGAACAGCAGTCGGAGATGGAAATTGGAAGAGGGAAAGCATCGCCATCAGCTTTCTGCCACCCTAGGTAACACAAGCACAAAGATGAGTGGGGCTGAAAACGCCAACAAAGCCCTCAGTGGGGACACAACAGCCCTGGCCAGAGGGAGCAGGCATAGACCTGCTACCAAAGAGCCCACAACCAAACTGCAGCTGCCACAATCCAGTATCAGGAATAAATAAGCAACAGGGTGCCAAAGCTGAGCACCCTGACCGCTGATCCCACCCGTGCTTCATACAGCCCCCGGTACCTCCCTGCATTTTCGGCGCAGACAGAGATGGCATACGCCAGCAATGACATGCCCTCCTGAATTTCTCTCTTTGCTTTCACGAGGTTGCACACAGAAAATGACGGGAGAGGAGGTGGCCTGGCAGTGGGGGGAAGGAGGTTTTTAATTACTGAAGTGTAGTAATTGGCACACAACACTTTTTTGTTGCCTCTTATGCAGATCGCTGGTGTTCCAGAGGGCTGGGCTGGAGAGCACAGATTGTCTCAACCCAGCAGGACACACAAGAAATGAATAATGTTAATTAGAACTGAAAAGAGCTCAGCGAAATTACCAACCTGATCGCCGCTTTCGTTACAATTATCAGGGTACAAGCTCCATCGCAGGGAGGCAGGGATGGGGCAAAGCTGGGCTTACCTCAGCAAAGCTGGTGGCCCAACCTGGGGCCATGACCAGGCTGACCCCCCCTGCACTCGACACCCCCCGGGCTCGCTTCTCCTTCCCCCCACCTAATTTTCACTGTGTGCCCGTCCTAGAGAACCCTCCTTCCCAAATCCAGGCCACCTGATGGAGTTTCACATGCGTTGTGCCACAGCACCAACCCACCATCAAGCACCCCTAGATGTCTTGTCTTTTTCTTCCCAGTCACCTCTGAATTTTGAAGCAATCCCTTCCGCACCAGCGGTGTTTTGTCTCTGCTATGGGCTAGACGAAGCTGGAAATCAGTTTGCAGGAACTAGGCTTGGGGCTTAGTTTAAAACCGGGTGCAAAAGCCTCCCACTGAGGCTGGGCAAGGCGACAAGCTGCTCCAGCCCTGCCTTGTCCCCAGCATCTCATGTGCCAGGCAGCACCTTCCAGCC